AACAAAGCTGAATACCATACATGTAAGTACCCGCGAAAACTTAAGAAAACACACACACACACACACACACACACACACACATATATATATATACACACATACACATACACATATACATACACATACATACATACATACATACATACATACATACATACATATACCAATCAAAAATTAATGTAAACCAATATATTGCTCAATGCATTTTTCAAGAGTTTTCAACTTCCCTGTACACAATTGATTGTAATGTTACACGCAACTGGTGTTTTCAAGTTTCAGGTGCTACAACACTGAAGGTTGTTAAGAAGAGATTGGACATCCATTTGTATAGAATGGTATAGATCTCCTGCTTAGGCAGGAGGTTGGATTAGAAAACCTCTGAGTTCCTGTCCAACTCTGTTATTCTGTATTCTGAATATATTAAGATTGTGAATATTTCAAAGCTATTTACACTATGTTCAGAGAAGCTAGGTTAAAAAATGCTTATTCCCAAGCTTGGGCACATTTTCATATGACCTCATAAGATATTGAGAAACTTGTGGCCTTCCAGGGGTGGCTGTGCTATAACTCCCAGTTTTCATTATTGTTAGCCACAGCAGCTGGGGCTGATGGGAATAGAAATTCAGTGTTTCACAGAGAGCCATAAGTTCCTCACCCTTGGCTTAGTCTATTATAGCTCACAAAGCTGGACAACCATATGCGTCAGAAGAGGTGAGGTATTCTGTATCATATCCCTAGTTGATCTGGCATTATTATGCATGCCATTCTATGTAAATAATTTCACATTATGAAAAAGGTATGCACACTTAGTCTAGACAAAGGCTGTATGCTTCCTCTTTTAGAGTTAATCTCAGTCCACTTTCCATCCCTTAGTTCAGATAATTTGCCCCTTTTGTGTAATAATTCTCTAAAATTAGGACTTGAATTCCGCTGATTTTCATCAAACATTCTCAGATCTTCTAATCTATATGTGTCATTGCATTAAATACAATACTTGTAGGAATTGGTAGTGCAATACCACCATACGGTATTTTGGGTTCCTCATCCACTTCAAGTATAATCCATTAATCTTTCAATGGGTAAAAAATTACAATTACAAATTTTGCTGCCCTGCTGCTCACTCGTGGAAGCTGCTAAGTGTTTCTGCCTTTGTTTACTGCAAAAAGGGGAACAGGATTGACTGGATCACCCCAATTTTGCTCCTTCCACTCTGAATAAATATTTCAACCAGGGGGAAATGAGACCAGTTGTTCTGGGTTGAGGGTTGAATCTGGGAATCAGGTGAACTTTAAGAGATTTAGTTGTCTGTCAAAAGTCACTCCTGGTTTTGCATGAGCTGTGGCAGCCCATTTTAGGATGGCAAAAGAAAGTGCAAAAAGAAATGGCAAGAGAAAATGGCAAAGAGCTGATTACCATTCTTCTCCTCCCACTTGTCCCAGTTTGGAGATCAGAAGCCAGGAGAAGGTGGGATCTGATTCTTAACCCATTAGGTCTCCATCCCCGGAGATCAGTTTTGTGAGATAAGTGATCTGGCAGCTCAAGAGCCATTTTCCTCTTCTTCTCCTCCCATCTGCTCAGAGTGGGTAATCCATACTCCAAAGCAGCCTGAAAGCAGGTGACTGGATAAGGAGATGTATGCCATGAAGCAGCAGAAAAAGAGCACTCTTTCTATATTCTCTTTCTCCTTCCAATCCCTTGGGCACTGACTACTCAAGCTGATCCAAATGGAGGTTTGGCTGGAAAGATTTGAACTTTCTCATTGCTCAGAGCTGAATGGCCCTGAAGGACTATACCAATTGACTGGAGGGGGTGGGATGGTATTTCCTATATCAACTGGTAGTCTACAGATGCAGTCCTGACCTCATCCACTTGGGGTCATACTATCAACCAAATAGTTGGCGAAGTACACCATGTCTCACTCAGAGGAAAAACTGCCATGACTTTATTAGGAATATGAGTCACCTAACAGGTATTTGGGTTAGAAATATATAAACCAGGATAAACATTTTAAAACTGTATCTTTAAGAAAATGCAAAACTGTAGTTGGGTGTTGTTTCTCAAACGACCATAAGATGGAGCCAGAAACCTGGGTTGTTTAGTCTTAGTCTCAGAAGAGAGTGTGAGTCAGTCTCTGTTTCCTTCTGTTGGAAAGTATTGCCGTTCCTCCATTTCTTCTAATTGACTGATATTTCTGGATTTAATGTAAGTCTGTTACTGAACTGGTTTTTGACACTGGACTTTGATATTTGGATTATCCCTGGATTGAAAACTGACTGATTTAACTTGTGAATGATTTTGGATTGCTTATTTTGGACTTTGCTTAATGTTTCTGGAAGTAAAAACCTACATTTACTGTACAGTGTATCTGTGTGCTGTATGTGTATTATTCAAACACTCCTCTCAAATACGTCTCCCTGTATGCACTCATTCTCCTAACGGGGAATTACCTCAATAGACTTGCTATGTGCTTAAAAGGAAAAGGCAACTATCTTAACCCCAGAACTTCTAAAATGACTTTAGGTAGGTAAATAATAAATGATAAGGAGATGAATATAAAGGTAGGTAAATAATAAATGATAAGGAGATGAATATAAAGATGCAAGAAATAGGCAAGGATAAATAAATGTTTAAAGGAAACTTTCTAGGCTGTATATTCAGCAAGAATACTTTAATGAGATGTTCCTTTCTTCTTCTGGACTATTAAGGCACTGATGACTCCAAAATGTGGGCTGAAGTACCGCAGTTCAAAAATCCAGTGAAGAACATGAAACAGCGATTGAAGTCAGGAGGAGGGATGTATGGAGTCATGTGATCTCTACGGCACTTTTTCTCTTGAGTCCCAGACAAACAGGAATCCTTTGTGTTAGACAGAACTTTTAAGACTTGAATCTGGGAAGGAGATTGACGTTACTTGTCTCAACTAACCTTATGCCAAAGCTGATCTCAACTTTGTGTCTTTCACAGCAAATTTGGCTACCACTGACATCATATTCCTAGTGTGCTGTGTTCCCTTCACTGCCACTCTCTATCCCTTGCCCAGCTGGGTGTTTGGTGACTTTATGTGCAAATTTGTCAACTATTTACAGCAGGTGAGCTATAGTATAATTTTATTATCTATCGTATCTATAATTTTATTTTAAATCCCCACGGGAACAATGGATGGTATGAAGTGGATAAATGTTAATGGCTCTATATGGTGCCAAAAACATAGCTGTATGCTAGGATAGGCATCTCACAGGCTGTTTACATTTTCCCAACACCTTTGCTAAGCTGTTATAGATCTGCGGGGACTATAAACGATTCACAGTGAATGCAAATAGTGCTGTTCTCACATTAAAAAGGGGAAGGAAGGAGGTGCTGAAGGATGGATTTAGATTTCGGTGTCTTCACCACATGCTTTGTCTTCTCACCAGGTGACTGTCCAGGCCACCTGCATTACTCTGATGGCTATGAGTGTGGACCGCTGCTATGCTACTCTGTACCCACTGCAGTCATTGCGTTATCGAACCCCCCAGGTAGCCATGTCCATCAGCTTTGCTATTTGGATTGGTGAGTGAGGATCTGCAAAATCTATGAGCACTTATATCTCTGGGAAAAAAAGAAGAGACTATGTAGCTTGAAGTGGAAGGGAGACCAAACCCATGCCTGACACATCCAGACTTTCCTTCTTGGTATTAGCCCAATAATCTCTGGAGTTGCTTATTTAATTAAGAAGTGAGGTCAGAAAGAAAGGGGATGTAAAAAGTGTTACTATTACTTTAAATATACAGGTGTATAAAATAAGGAGCATGAATAAAAATCATGACAACTCAATTATCCTAACTTTTGAAGCTGTTATTTCAGTTCAAACCTTCCAGTCTCATTGCAAGTCAGGCTGCATATAAATTTAATAAATCATAATCATTTGACATCAGAATCTAGAACTTACCTTTCCCTGAACTATCCACAATTTCCTGTAAATCAGAGGTCTCCAAGCCTTTCAGTTCATCAACCTCTTCATGAAGTTTCAGATTTTTTTTAATCAATCCCCAAACTTTTACTACATGAAAATAATGTAATAAATACTACTTTAACTAATAGTACTATGTTTAAGCTTAAAATAATCTTTGGTAACCATTATCTTTAGATTGTTTAAACTTCAAGTCATTGACTGTCATGGCAAAGCTAAACATTCTAAATGATGGGTTTTTGAACAGGGTCATATTTCAGTTTCCTCTCTTTTCATCCTTCTGTCTCTGGGCTATGTTTGATAAATGCTTTGAACACCACTTTCAAAAATATTCTCCTTTACCTTTATTACATATTATAAGGAGAGACAGTGTGGTGTAGTGGTTAAGGCACCAGGCTAGAAACCATGAGTTCTAGGCCTACTTAGCCAGCAGGGTGACCTCCAGCCAGTCACTTTCTCTCAACCCTAGGAAGAATCCAATGACAAACCATTTCTTAAATCTTGCCAAGAAAACTGCAGGGACTAGCTTTATCTCTATTAGTAAATCAGCAACCATATTTATCCAGATATCCATCCATCCATCCATCCGCTGTTTCTCTTTCCAATAGATATGATCCCTGACCATACTTATCCACATATCCATCCATCCATCTTTCCACCCATCCATCTATGCATCCATCCATCATCCATCCATATATTGCCTGTTCCTCTTTCCAAGAGATATGATCCCTAACCATACTTATCCACATATCCATCCATCCATCTATCCATCTATCCAACTATCCATCCATCCATCCATCCATCCATCCATCCATCCATCCATCCATCCATCTGCTATTCCCCTTTCCAAGAGATATGATTTATTTATTTATTTATTTTATTTGTCAATCGCTTACAAGATAATAAGTATAAGTATAAACATGAGTAAGAATACAGGAAATAGGTACGAATAAATGGGGACAATAGGACAAGGACAGGAGGCATGATGGTGCACTTATGCATGCCCCTTACAGACCTCTTAGGAATGGGGTGAGATCAATAGTGGATAGTTTGAGGTTAAAGGAGTGGGGGTTTGAGGATGTAACGACTGAGTCAGGTAGTGCATTCCAGGCATTGACCACTCCGTTGCTGAAATCATACTTTCTGCAATCAAGTTTGGAGTGGTTAACATTGAGTTTGTATCTGTTGTGTGCTCTTGTATTGTTGTGGTTGAAGCTGAAGTAGTCATTGACTGGTAGGACATTGTAGCAGATAATTTTATGTACTACGCTTAAGTCCAACCATAGGCGGCATAGTTCAAGATTGTCCAAGCCCAAAATTTCAAGTCTGGTGATATAGGGTATTCTGTTGCGAGCAGAGGAGTGTAGTACTCTTCTCGTAAAATAGTTCTGGACTCACTATATACAGTGCAGATTCCAGACAGATGAGCTGTATTCGAGTATTGGTCTAGCAAAGGTTTTGTATGCCCTAGTTAGCAATTCAATATTTCCAGAGGAGAAGCTTTGTAAGATTAGATTTACAACTCTTAATGCCTTTTTGGCAATGCTGTTACAGTGAGCTCTGGCGCTTAGGTCATTAGATATGAGTACTCTTAGGTCCTTGACAAAGTGTGGGTCATCAATGAGGTCATATCCACCTAGTTTGCATTTGGTGTACTGGTTTTTTTTTTACCAATGTGTAGGACAGAGCATTTGTTGGTTGAGATTTGGAATTGCCAATCATTTGACCATTCAGACACATAATCAAGGTCACTTTGAAGAACAGTAGCATTGTCGGTGGTGTTGAGTAGTTTTTCATCATCCGCAAAGAGGACACAGTTGCTTATAAGGTGATCGCAAAGGTCATTTATATAGAGTATAAAGAGTGTGGGTCCTAGAACACTGCCTTGGGGGGACACTGCTGTTAACTGGAGTAGGGTTAGATATAGTGCTCCCGATTTTTACTATTTGTTGCCTGTTTGACAGGAATGCAGTAATCCACTTATGAAGGGATCCGGAAATGCTGTAAGAGTTTAGTTTTAACAGTAGTTTGTCATGTACCACTGAATCAAAGGCTTTGCAGAAGTCTATATAAATTGCGTCTATTGCTTTACCCTGGTCAAGTACAGTATTCCATATATTTTTGTAGTGTAGGAGTTGTAGGTTGCAGGACATTTTTTTCCTGAAACCAAATTGTTTTTGGGAGAGTAGGTTGTTTGACTCTAAGTGGAGGGGGTTAATGATTGATTCCATGACTTTGCACGTGACACAACACAGTGAGATTGGTCTGCAGTTTTCAACCAGGCTGGGGTCACCTTTTTTGAAGATAGGGATGACTGTAGCTAAGGACCATAGGTTCAATAAGGAGCTGGTTCTGAATGATATATCATATATAATGCTTAGATGTTCTGCTATGGCAGAGGAGAGCTTTTTAAAGAAGTATGCACATAATCCATCAGGGCCAATAGATAGTGATGGTTTTTGGTTTTGTGATACCTTTTCTACGTTATCTTTTGTAAAGTCAATATGAAGTAAATCATTGCAGTTAGTTGTGGTATGACTAAGAAATGTTGGGCATGAGCCATTGCTGTTTACAAAGACTGAGCTGAAGAATGTGTTGAAGAGGTTAGCCTTAACAGCTTCGTCGCTGCAGTCTTTTCCATTTGGTCCTTTTAGAGGTGAGATGGTTCTTGAGTCTTTAAGTTTGGTGTTTACAAAATTGTACAAGGCACGGGTAGATTTTGTGTGTAGGAGGTTTTCCTCCTGCTTGCAGTAAAATTTGTGCCTTTATCTGTTGGCATAAGGTGTTGTATCAGTTTTTAAAGTTTGCTACGTAGCCTAGTTTTGTTTTTATGCCATAGTCATTTTTTTTAATTGAAGTTTCCTTATTGTTATGGGTAATTTGTTTTGTTGTTGTTGTTGTTGTTTTTAGGGGGTAACTAATGGTACATATAGTTTAATGACTCTTTCAAGTTCAAGTAAGAATACATTATAATGGTCTTCTGTAATATTACAGTTAGAGAACAGAATGTGCCATTCAAGAGATGATAGCTCGGCATCTATGAGATCATAGTTGGCTTTTGTGAAATTGTATTTTGGAGATCCATCATTATGATCTTCTTTTTTTAAGTTTTAAAAACAATTTTATTTACAAATTTTAAAATGTACAATTTCAAAAATACAGAAACAACAATAACACATAATTTTTTACATTTGTTGTCGAATTTGATAAGTCCTAAAAATCATTATTGGCTAGTACTAGTCACATATTCACACATTATCACATCCCAAGTGCTAAATAATTCACAATATACTCCATTTATTTTCATGTTGGCGAATACATTCATGTTTTTTAACTAATAAACACAAAAAAATATTATAAATGGCCAATACTAATAATAGTAGTAACAGAGAAAAGAAGGTTTAAAATCTTTAATTGTTTTTATGTACTTAATACAGTATATTATAAACCGCTGGATATAATTTTTATCTTAGGTTCATTTACATGTTTCCCCTTTTATTGTCTACCCACTTATGCCATTTATCCTATATCCGGTAATTGTATCGTCCTTCCCATTAATTTTAAGCATAAGCCTCTCCAGTTGGGCACACTCATATGTTTTCTGAATTACAACATATATCAGTGGTACGTTTGGGTTTTTCCAATATTGTGCTAGTGAGATACATGCTGCAGTTAATAAATGGATGGTCAGATATTTTACTTTAGCAGAGTAGTCCCCTTTGATCATTCCCAACAAAAATAATTCCGGTTTCCACTCCAGCCCACTCTCTATAATTTCTTCTATCCACGTTTTTATTTTTAGCCAATATTTCTTTATCTCAGGACAAGTCCACCATGAATGAAAGTATGTACCAAATTTCCCTTTACATTTCCAACAGCAAGGATTGGCTGTCAGAAATATTTTGGCTAATCTAGAGGGTGCAAGATGCCATCTGTACATCATTTTGTATAAATTCTCCTTGTGTGCTACTGATTTGGTTAGTGTCAGGTTTTTCTGCCAGATTTCTTCCCAGTCATCCAGATCAATACTATAACCAAAGGTTTTTTCCCAAGCCAACATGGGACCTTTCACAATTTTCTCGGCCATTTCATATTCTAATAAATAATTACATAATTTGGAAATCGAACTTTTCTCAGGGTTTAAAAATATTTTATCCAAATATGTATCTTTTACCTCAATTCCATATTCCTTTACGTCTTTATTGTATCGCTATTGACCAATTATCAATAGCTATCTTTTGTGATTCTAGTTCCTGTTTCGTTTTAATTCTTCTCTCACTATCTAATATTTGGTAGTATTTAAGTTTTTTACTGATGTCCATCGTGTTTAAATGAAACATTGCCTCCATCGTTGAGAACCACCTCGGGATTTTAGTATAATGATTCTTTCTTATATCAGTCCAAACTTTAATTAAAGACTTTCAGAATACATGTCTAGTAAAATATAAATTGTTTTTACTATTCGGGTTCCATAGAAATGCATGCCAGCCTAGCTGTAAATCATGTCCCTCCAATTGTAAAATCCTGTTATTCCTTAAATCAATCCAAACTTTTATCCACACTAATGCCACTGCTCTACAGCATGTCTCCCAGACAGGTA